AGGCTCTGAGACAGCACAAGTTTGTGGTGTATGCTTCTTGACCCAGTTCTTGATCTTGCCTGTTCTTGCTCGCCCTTTCAGTGACACAAGCCACTGGCCACGCTTCTGAATGTACAGAATATATATATTAGATCTTTTATTTTGAAATCCCTTGAAGCCTGAAGACTGACGGTCTTGAGGATCTTGTCCAACGTCCAGTCTTGATCGTCTCCAACAGCAGGCAAGGTCTTGAGGGTCTTGACAGGCTCACGGTCTTGTCGTGACTTTGATTAAAGCGTCGACGAGACCAGAAGAGCCGAAGAAGGAAGAAAAAACCTGCAGAGTCGAGCGAAGGAGCGTTGGCAGTCAGCCCAAATGAAGAGCGTGTGAGACGTAGAAGAAAAGAAGAAAGACCGAACGATTCGAAGAAACTGGAGGACGAACTCCGTATGTTCCAGAAGAAGCTTACCGTAGTTCGTCATGAAATAGCATCGGCCAACTACAAGATCGACGATGCTTGGAAGAAGAGCGAAAGAGACCCGAAGAGTTTGGACAAGCTCCGCGAGTTGAAAGAAAGTAGACGTCGCAGTCGAGAAGAAGAAAGCGAGCTCCTGCGTAAGATCGACAAGACAAAGGAACGCATGCGCAAGAGCTACGAACAAAAGGAACGGCAACACGGAGCTCATCGTGACCAGTCACCTCGACCGAGCACCTCTCGTGGCGGAGTATAGAGAACTAATGTCATATTTCTCTATTCCCTTTGTTATCGTTGTCGCTATATATTTGTTAGTTCATCCATACTGTTCATTAACGTTTGTCATAGAAAAATGTCGTTGAAATCTCTGTATCTGTCATTGAAAAATGATCGTAGCAAAAGAATGTTGTTCGTAGGGAAAAAGCTTTATGTTTTTCTTGCATAGCTTATCATCGTATCGGATCTATCCTATATATATCCTCTTTGGTATATAATCAGTGTGAAGACGCAGCCTGTAGCTTTGTGTCATCTGTATCGCCTTAGCTGTTCGCTGTTCGCCTGCTGGAATAAATCTAAGTGAAGAACTGGACCTCAACAGAAGAAGACCCGCGTGGCTAGGAAATTTCTATAACGTCCCCTACCAATACCGATCGAAGGCATTCTCAACACTATTTTAAGGGAGCTTCACTATGTCCGGCACGCACATCAAAACATGAATGTAAGTAACCTGAACACTCTAGAAAGAAAATAAAACACCTAGTAACACTACCTAACAATAATTAATAAAAACTATTATAGCAACGTATTGCTAATATGGAAGGCCGGTCGAGCCAATTGGAGATGACGTTTTACGCAACCACATGCAAGAAATGGAACGGCAAGCCATACTTCTACCCAACATCCCCACCATTTCCAACAGCCAGAACCCAACCAACAAAACCATTCTCACACATTGGAATCGACCTAGCCGGACCATTCACAATCATTGATTAAGACCACGACAAAATCAAAAGATGGATATCACTATTTATTGCATGACTACAATGG